CCTCTGAAGATGCCGGTCACAGGTGCTGGCGAAACATTAGGAAACAAGACTTCAAGACCATGGCCACACAGCCCGGAAGACCCACACCAGCCATCTAATATAGCATAGTTACTCCAAGCTGCACTGCACACTACCTGCAATCACAAGCATCCTCCTGCAAGTAGTCAAGGAGGTACAGGAGGAGAGCAGGCTCAGCACCAGATCCCAGCGTGACACCCCTGAGGAAAAAGCCCAAGAAGAGCACTGGACTGAACAGTGCTGGATTATATCCCTGGGAATATGCTAACGAATACAAGAGCAAGTATTAAGTCCTTTGTCCATCATCTTCTAGTCTCCAATAAAACAGCTGACTCACTTGATTTGGTTTTGTGACATTGCATATAGATGGAAAGCACGCGTTCATAGTCAAAGCTGTGAAACAGAAGCAGAGGATTGTATTCAAATTTATAGGAAGTAGCCCCGTGGATCTACAGAACATCCAAGATGATGGCAAGAACAAACCTCTTCTGTATCACTGCCAGTAAATCTGCATGGATGCGCCCAACAGAGGTAGTCAGGAACTGAACTTGACTTTTTTATAAGATCTATAAAGGAGTAGGATGCTATATATGCACCCAAGTATGTGGAAACTGTCCCGCATTGCTTCACATGCATTTTCTTATGGTCATTTAATATTGCACTCAGATAAAATAATAATGTGAGTTCTCAGCGGCATTTGACATAAATGTTAGAACATGAATTTGTGGAAAACCTCAAAATTAAATTACAAGGGAGGGAACCAGATCAGAATAAACACACTGAAAAAAGGTAATTAAATAGTAATAGTTCTGTACTTAGAACAGAGTACAGACAGGAATATAAACCATAAAAGTGAATGAAATAAAATGTCTAAAGCTTAAAACATTGTAATTTACTTCAGCGCCAATCCCACCAAAGACACGATAGTCTTTTGCTAAAAAATTATTTATGTATTTATTTTTGCTGTATACTTCACATTGGAGACTGTATCACCCCCAAAAAATAACAGGTATAAAACTCAACTGGGTGGGCTGGCAGATTTTTTATTAAAAGCTGAATTAACCTTGACCAAGAATCAGAATAAAATGTTCAACTGATTCAGCCTGCCTAGATTTACAAGAGTCTCTGGGGGGTGGCAATATTGCCTAGTGAAGACCGTTAAATTGAGCTTTAGAAAATGCCTAGTGATATTTAAAATAACTATGCATGAGAATGTCTCTGCAAACCTCTTATGGGTCGGTAAATCATGTTGAAATTCAATGTCCTCCGTTCACGGACTGGTAACTTCCTTAACTTTTTCAAGTCCGGAAAAGAGCGCACTGAATGTTAGCGCGACGAGTAGGAAAGAAAACCGTTTGTAAAAGAACATGAATTGTACACCAAAACAGAAGTGAGCGAAAATACTCTGTAAGTTTGTTTTCACTATTTCTTGCAACCAATTTATTTAACTTTCTGTGAAAAAAAAAAGGGGGGGGATAAACGCAACACTTCTAAACAGATGAGAAGCAACGCTGTATGTCTGGTGGGAATGAAAACTTCCTTTTATTGCTTTCGCGCAAACCAATGGACCGAAAGCACAGAAACCGAATATACACAAATAAACTAAAGTAAGATAGATGCGTTGGTAGCAATCCTTCTGTGTACATCTTCTTTAAGAATGTATTAATAGTAACGTCTGTCCCCAGTTGCGTAGGGACTGATTAGAGGGGAAACGTGCAGGAGAATCCAGCTTCTTCGCATTTAATTGCACAGGCGCGATACGCGAGCCAGACCCGCGTATCTGTTTGAGTAGCAGCCGCCGCCAGCCGCGGTCCGAGCGCGCGTGTGAGAAGACAAACCCCGCCAGGCGGCCTCGCGATTGCAGGAAGACCTTGTCGGGCGCTCCAAACGCGCCGCCTCCGTTTTTGCTGCAGAAGCCCACGCAAGCGCCTCTGCCGAAGCCGAGGCAGCACACGGACGAGCCGGCGGGCTATTCCGAGCCGCAGTTCGGCGGAGCCGCGCTACGGCTGCGCGTATCTGGACCCATCTCGTCTATATATAGCACTCCCCTTCGCGCACCAGCAGGGCTATCCCTGCCCCCTCCCTTTCTATTTGTGAGCTTGGGAGAGGTAGCCCCGCCTCCCTGCTTTTCAGCGCGAGAGCGTCGCCACTTCCGCTCTCCTCCTGTAGGGGACGCTGAAGCTTGGCCCCCCCAGTCTAGGGAGAGTCCGCAGCGCGAGGGGAAGGAGGGGGGACAGGGAAAAAGATCGAGAAGCAGAAGGAAAAGGGGGGCGGGGATATTTCCCCCTTCCCCAGACGTCACGTGACGCTCGGAGGCCGCTTTTTCTTCCGACGCTCTCGCCCGCGGCGGAGAGGGGTAGCCGCTCGCGGCCACGCGATTCCTCAGTGCCTCGCGCCACCAGGGGGCGCCGCCTCAGGGCAGGAACAACCTGCTGGTGCGAACGAGCGAGAGTCGTCGATCGGAGGAAAAGGAGGGAGAGGCGAGCAGGAGCGGTTGGTGGCGCGAGACTTTCTGCGCGCCGTGCGTGACGCGGCGTTCTGAGGGAAAGGGAAGGTCGGAGGAAGAGGCGGGGGGGAGACGGAGGAGGCGAAGGCAGGCGAGGGGAAGAAGCGCGAGCCGCGGTCGCGGAGGGGACGCGATGTGAAGCCCTGCGCGGCCCGGGAGGGCAGACGGCGGCGCCGCCCGCAGCGCGGCGAGAGGTGAGAGAGCGGCGTCGACTCCTTTCAACTC